ACAAACCCTAATCATTCAGCACATTTGACCTTTCCTTTATCAACAAATACGTACTCCCTCCGTCCTAGATAAAATGGGCATGGTACCGTAGATATGAGAATTTAGATAAGTATAATTAGTAAGTAATTAAAGAATGTATTAGTAAAAATAATTATAAATTAAGATAACTAAATAATTTAATTAAAATTAAAAATTTTAAATTTTAAAATATAATTAAAGTGTATAATCAATTTTTCAAAAATAGAAAGGATAAATTATGTGGGACCGATAAAAATAAAAAATAAGAACAAATTACGTGGGACGGAGGGAGAGAGTATATGTTTTTATGTGAGAACTAATAAGGTAGATTGATTGATTTATGGTAGGGATGTCAAACGGGGCGGTTAGCCCCGGACCCGCTCTTAATGGGACGGGTTCGGGTCTAAATAATATGTTTTGGGGTGGGTTGTGAATTTGAAATTTTAAACCCGGCCGGATTCGGGGCGGGTTACTGGTTTTACTAAAAATTCATCCGAACCCGGACCCGAACCCGGATATTTTTTTAAATTACTATAACTAATATATATGTATATTAATAATTTTTTTTAATTATTATACCTAATATGTGTATATTTATATAATAAAAATATATTATTTATTTATTTAAATAATTTTAAACATAAAACTCAATTAGTTGTCCATCCAACCCTAAATTCCTAATTTCTTTTTCGACTTCTTCAACCGCGACCGCTGCCGTCTTTCATCCTCATCTACTTGTCTTCTGCTGACCATCACCGGCTGCCAGCGCCAATATAATAATATGTATATATATATTTTTAATTAAGTACCAGTGGATTGACCGTTGGATAAAAAGTTGTCCTCCTGCAATGCTAGATGAAGATGAAGACTTTGATGTTGAAGAATGTTAGAATTGACTATTTGATGTTTTAAATTCTTATATTTGCATTGTATTTATGTACTTTTATCTTATTTTTTGAATTAATATTTGATTGTTTTTAGATTTTTTTTGGTGCTTTTAATGCTATTTGTTTTAGTATTCGATTTTTAAAAAAATATTTATTATTATATATTTTTAAAAAAAAACGGATTTGCCGGGTTGACCCCGAACCCAGAAGGTTCGGAGCAGGGCGGGTCCTGGGGCCGGGTGGAAGCGGGGCGGGGCGGGTCTCAGAGCTTGCAGAATCCATCCCGAACCCGCCCCGTTGACGTCCCTAATTTAGGGGCATTATGAGAAATTTATTAAAAATTTGGTAAAAAGTTTATGTGGCAATTAGAAAAGCTAATAGAAAATTTGTTATTATTTGTTAAAATAGAAATAATAAAATTATTCATAAATAAAATTATTGATTATAAATAGAATATGCATAAATGTAATAGACAATAAAAAGAATAAACAGAAACTGTGACGTAATTTAGTGGACGAGAGAATATACATAAATAGTTTAAATTAATTTTATATAAAAAAATAAATTTATGTTTGTTTGTTTATTTAGAAAAGTACTACCTCAGTCTTGGAACATATGATCGATTTGTTCATAATGTTATTTATATAGTGTAAATTAATAAGTTATGATAGTATTACTTTTTATATGAATAATATTGTTATTATTTTAAAAATATGAATTAAGATATATGATTAGAAAAAAAATTTATGTATTTAAATATTTTTATAATTATATCTTAATGAAATATATACAATATGTATATTATTTTGTTGTTAATAATTTTTTATGTAATACATATAAATAAATAAATAAAAATATTTATTTATAATTAACTTAAATTAGTTTTATAAAAAATAGAAAATTATGAATATAAATAAAAGATATTTATTTATTGAATAGAGATATAAATAAAAATGTTATAAGTAAGTTCTACTTGTAAATTGTCAGAAATTAGTAATATACTCCATCCGTTCCATGACTATATATCCGTTTGTTTTTTTATAGAGTTTTAGAAATATTAGTATTATATTGGAATATAGTATGAATAAAATAAAAATGACTAAAATAACCTTATTAATATTGTATGATATAAAAGTAATGACATTTGTGTAATATATTGTAAATTGCTAGGGTAATTGTAATGTTAGTATATAGTACAATTACTAAAAAAGGAAATTGATACTTTATTATGGGACAGACTAAAATAAAAAAATAGATACTTTATTATGGGACGGGGAAAGTATATTAATAGAAGTTTCTATTATGAAAATTATTTTAAGATATAAAATAAATTAAATTTTATAATGTCAATCCAAAACTTATAACCAAACACACCTTTAAGTTGTCAATATGGGACTCCACCTGTCAATTTTCTATTATTTCGATCTGGACCAATTTGAAAACTTAACGAAAGACAAACAACCTTTTTTCTTTTTTTTTTTTTTTTAATTCTAACTGAAAGTATTTTTTTAAGTAGTTTTATTTATGTCATTCAAAAATTCTTACTTTATATTATAAAAATGTAAGCAAATATTATTTATAAAATATTTTTATTTGGGTAAAATTTTTTTTTTTTTTTTTTTTTCCTCTGACTGGACCTTCTTATCGTTTTAGTATGGTAAGTAAAGCTTGTCGCAAACTAGTTTCATAAGTGAAAAATTTTCGCTGTTTTAATCCTCCGACGCAGGAGACGCCCGCGTGGCTCGCCGGAGGCCACGTGTCCGCTAGGTTAGCGACACCTGGCGGACATGTGAATTTTATTTTGTTTATTTATTTTTTTTCTTAATTATTTTTAAATTTATTTTTAATTTATTTCTAATTTTATTTATTTTTTAATTTTTTTATTTAGTCCAATAGAAAAAAATAAAAAAAATAAAAAAAATAAATAAAATTCATGTGTCCGCCAGATGTTGCTGACCTGGCGGACACGTAGCCTCCGACAAGCCACGCGAGCGTCTCTGGCACCGGAGGACTAAAACAACAAAAATTCTTTACTTCTGGAACTAATTTGCGATATGCTCCACTTACGTGACTAAAATAATAAGGGGTCCAGTTACGGGATTAAAAAAAAAAGTTTACCCTTTTATTTTTTTATATGAATTACACATATATGAGTACATATATAATTAATTTATAAAAAAGATAATATTAAAATTATTATATATTTCACCCAATCAATAGATATTATTATTTTTTAATTGGAAATTAAAAAATAATTGGATATGTTTGTTTGGGGGTTTGGATTTTGAGTTGGGATTTGAATAGTAAAAATTTTGAATTTAAATAGTTGTATAATGTGATATAAATAAGTATTGATGTGATATTTTGAATGAAAAATTGATATTTAGTATGATATAAAAAAATAAAAAATAGGTGTTTGATTTGATATTTTTGAAGAAAAAAATGAAATGAATAGTGAAAATTAAATTCAATCCCCCAAACAAACACACATACAAATAAAAATTAGTACTGGTAATTTTTGTTTGTAATTTTTTATTTTAATTTGATTTAATAATATTGGTGTAGATAAATATAATTTTAAAGATACTTATAATATGTAACGTAGTTAACTTTATTACATAAAATATATGTATATATTCTGTAATTTAATAGATGAAAATTATAAAATATACTTTTTTCTTTAGTATGTTCTAACTCGTAGGATTTTACTCATGATTTTATTATTCTAATTTTTTTTTAAAAAAAATATCAAATAAAACACCTAATTTTTATTTATTTTATTACACTAAAATCTAATTTTACATTCAAAATATCACATCAATTTATATTTATATCAGATCAAACAACTATTTCAATTTAAAATTTTACCATTTAAAATCAAAAACAAAAAAACAAAAACCTCACAAGTAAAACAAAATGTTCATTATTTTTTTTTATTTTTGTTCTACATAATTTACCTTTTTATATTGAAAAATAATTATACACTTTAATCATATTTTAAATTTCATAGTTGATAATTTTTTTACTTTATTTAAATTATTTAGTAATATTAATATTAATTTATAATTATTTTATTATACTATAGTTATTTTTTATAATACATTTCTAATCACTTATTAATTATATTTTTTTAAAAAAATTTTGTATATTATAAAGTGGTCAAATTTTATGAAACAAGACAGAAAAAATATTTTTTTTTAATTGACAAAGAAAGTTTATATTTACTTATTAATTTGAAACCCACAAGTTTAATGTGGAATTCAGCAATTTCAAATCAAGTTCTATATAGCAAGAAAGACCAAAATGGAATAGGATGAATTTACCATGATTTCATTTAGTGTATCTCGTCGAATTTAGTTTGCAGGATATTATATTCGGTCGGAAATTTACCCAGTTTGTACTTTTGGATAACGACTGTGGATTTTTTACGTCATAAAAAAAAAAGACCAAAATGGAATAGGATGAACGTGAATTATTATTACTCCATCCGTCCCATAATTAGGTATCCGTTTGCTTTTTGCACGGAGTTTTAGAAATATTAGTATTATATTGAAATTTAGTACGAATAAAGTAGAAATTACTAAAATAATCTTATTAGTATTGTGTGATATAAATGTAATGATATTTGTGTAATATATTGTAAGTTGTAAGAGTATTTGTAATGTTAGGTAGATAGTACAATTACTAAAAGAAAAAAGAAATGAATACTTTGTTATGGGACGGACTAAAATGGAAAAATAGATACATTGTTATGGGACGGAGGGAGTACTATTATTCATATGAATTAATTATTATTATTATTATTATTATTATTATTATTATTATTACTCGATCTGTCTGTCTCTAACGATCACATTTACTTTTTGTATTATTTTACTTAATATTGAAAATATTTTACATTTGTATAATTTTGTATACAAATATTATTCTATTAGTATTATAAAAAACTAATGAAAATATTTTTATAATTTTTTTTTAATTTTTAAAATATTTTAATATAATAATTAATATTTAAAAATCAATATTAAAAAAATAAATAAGACAGAAAATAATATTTTTACGACGTAGAAACTTACAATCTAATAATAACAAACTAGGTCGAGCAGTTTGCACGACCAATGCATAAAGTGAGCCTCCAAAGCCACCACATTGACCGGTCTACATACATTGCACACACACACACACACCAATTTTCCTCTACTGGTCTACCTGGTAGAACCTTCTATATCCACGTGGCATCACCATACTACCACAACATCGTCCACGTGGCATCAAATTCCCACCACACGACTGTCCACGTCGGATCTTCTTGACCGTTGTTTTGTCGTCTTCCTACTCCCCCTCCTACCCAAATATAACTACTACCACACTGCCACCTCACTTCCTTCTTACACCAACAACATTAACCTATCATCATCTCATTCTCATCCAAAATTAACCTCAAAAATGGACGGCGGCGGCGAAATCAAATTCCGCGGCGTCCGGCGGCGGCCGTGGGGGAAGTACGCGGCGGAGATACGAGATTCCGGCAAGAACGGCGCACGTGTGTGGCTGGGGACGTTCGGCACGGCGGAGGAAGCCGCCAGAGCCTACGACCGCGCCGCCTACTCTATGAGGGGACATTTGGCTATCCTTAATTTTCCCGAAGAGTACAACCTGCCTAGGAGCTCCTCCCATTTTATCAATTCCGGCGGCGCTGCCACGTCAGCTTCCGCCAGCTCAGCATCGCAGCGCAGCACAGAAGGCCGTAATGGCGGACAGGTTTTTGAATTCGAGTGCTACGATGACAAGTTGCTGGAGGACCTTCTTGATTACACCAAATATGGCAAGAATAGGGGCTGATCGATTATAATCGATTTTTTTTAAAAAAAATTAATTATTTTATTGAAATATATATATAAAAATCCATTCATCAGTTCAAGAACATATATATATATAATTATTTAATGCATATGACATTTCAATTTTAAGTAGTAATTATCTCTGCGAGCAAACGTAAGTCCTAGAATATACATACATATATATTTATCATAATAAAATATACTTTCTCCGTTTCAGATATTTTGGGATTATTACCGTAGATATGAGAATTTATATAAAGTATAATTAGTAGGTAATCAAGAAATGTATTAGTAAAAAAAATTACTAGTATTATTTAGTAAAAACAATTATAAGTTAAGATTTACCGTAGATACGAGAATTTATATAAAGTATAATTAGTAGATAATTAAAAAAATATATTAGTAAAAATAATTACTAGTATTATTTAGTAAAAATAATTATAAATTAAGATTAAGATAAATAAATAATTTAATTAAAATTATAAAAATTATAAAATTTAAAATTTAAAATATGATTAAAGTACATAATTATATTTTCAAAAATATAAAAGACAAGTCATTTGAAACATATGAAAATAAAAAATAGGGACAAATTATGTATATCAAAACAATACATGATTTGGGAGTGCCGCAATACATGATTTGGGAGTGCCGTTGAGCAAAGGGAAGAGGTGAAGGAAGAAGGGACTCTTCGTTAACTTTCCGTACTATTAGCATGTACTTTCATTTTTTAATTTTTATTATTATTATTTTTTTAATTCTCAAACATTTATATCAAAACTCATATATATATATATATAATCTTATATATTTTTATTTTTGTTGTGAAGTGTACACGAATATGTTGACACAAGAGGATACGTAGATGCTTTTATTCACAACCAAACTTTTACCTGCACATATATATATAAATGAAGAGAATACCTGTAAATGGAATATAATAAATAAATCATTTCTACACAAATACAATACAATTCTTAATCTCTCTCTGCCTCTTTATTCGTATTAATACTATCCTACTTAATAATATAATATAATATATATTAATATTCTACTTAATAATATAATATATATAAAGGTATACATTATATCTATATACACTCACGCAGCACACACATCTATATATATATTTACTTATATATATATATTATATACAATATATAAAATAGTGGTTAGCGGTAGAGATAATTAATATTTCTATTGGCTAATTCTATAATAATATTACAACACGTTATCAGCATGATTGTGTATTTTAATTTCTACAAGGTAATATTTTATATTTTATATGTTTATTATGTCTAACATTGCCAAATAGGAATTTCTCTCTCATCTCGTTTCTGGCCAAAATTATATGGCATGGGCTCGCGATGTTAAAATGCATTTGGCATCAATGGGTTTGGAAAATACCATTGCCCGGGATAAAAACTCTCCGAGCCAAGATTGTGCAAAGGCCATGATCTTTTTGTGCCATCACATCGATGAGGCACTGAAAATGCAGTATGTCACGCTGGAATTCCCACTTGAATTGTGGAAGAGATTGAAAGAAAGATATGATCATTTGAGGCTGACATTGTTGCCAAGGGCACGAAGCGAATGGCAAAGCCTATGGCTTCAGAACTTTAAAATAGTCCAAGAATATAATTCTGCAATGTTTAAAATAACATCACAGCTGCATCACTGTGGCGAAAATATATATGAATCTGATATGATGGAGAAAACTTTCTCCACTTTTCATGCCTCTAACATGGTTTTGTAGCAGTAGTATCCCGAAAGAAGCTTCCAGAAATATTATGAGCTGATCACCTATCTTTTGTTGACTGAACAAAATAATGAATTGCTGTTGAAAAATCACGAATCTCGGCCGACAGGTGCAAATCTATTTCCAGAGGCAAATGCAATAGAGCCGGAAAATCCGGTGCGTGGTCGTGGGCAAGTAAGAAATCAGCAAATTGATCGCGATCGAAATCAGAATCACGGACGGGGCCGGGCAAACGCATAGAGTCACAATAATTATCAAAACAGGCCCCGATATGTGGAAAATCGTCGTATAATGACAGAAGGCCGTACAGACCTCAACAAAGGATCAACACCGTGAGAAACAGAAATAATGACGAGGAATGCACCCGGTGTGGAATCAAAGGCCATTGGGCCCATGTTTGTCGCACAGCCAGTCACTTGGCTAAATTGTATCGGGCCTCAAAAGAAAGACAGGGAAGAATTGCCCCTAAAACAAATCACGCTGCCCACGATGACACATTTGACGATGAAAATATCACGCACCTGGATGCCGATGATATGCTTGACATAGCTGATGATGTTAAATGATAAAATGTTGTTGTATCTCTTTTGTTATTTTAATGTTTTATGCCCCCAAGTTTTTGTATAACCCTTTATTATATAAGTCTATTTTGATTATGTTACTAATACATATCTTTTATTATTTTTACCTTCTTGCAAATATATGGATGCCAAATATTTTGAAGTCGATGACAATATATGCCTTATCAACAGTGCTACGACTCACAACATTCTGAAAAACAAATGTTATTTCTCCCACCTGAATATGAGAAATACCACTATTGTTACTATCAGTGGTGCATTGAAAATGATTGAAGGCTCAAGAAAAACTACTATATTTCTCTCAAAAGGGACAAAAAATGGCAATTGAAAATGCCTTGTTCTCGAGCAAAGCTCGAAGAAATTTACCGAGCTTCAGTGATATTTGGAAAAAATGGGTATCACATTGAAATATTAAAATGAAGCAGAAAGTGAGTTTCTCCTGATAACTCAGATTGTGAATGACAAAAGAATTGTGAAAGAAAAATTGTCATCATTTTCTTCTGGCTATATTATTCAAAAATCAGTGCCATTGAAACATATCACCTAGTAGACCAAATGGCTACTAGCGAATTTAAAACTTGGCACGATCGACTTGGGCATCCTGCAATGTAATGCTGAGGCGAATTGTTGAAAATTCAAATGGCCATTCATTGAAAAAGAAAAATATTTTGAGTCCGAATGAATTTGCTTGTGCTGCATGTTCCAAAGGAAGTTAATAATCAGACCATCTCCAACAAAGGTTGGATTTGAATCCTAGCTTTTCTGGAAAGAATTCAGAGTGATATTTGTGGACTAATAGATCCACCGTGTGGACCCTTCAAGTACTTTATGGTACTAATTGACGCGTCATCACGATGGTCACACGTATGTCTGTTATCTACTCGCAATCTAGCTTTCGCTAGACTACTTCCACAAATAATTAAATTGCGAGCACAATTTCCACATCATCCGATAAAGAAAATACGTTTAGATAATACTGGAGAATACTCTTCACATACATTTGATGATTATTGCATGTCAATTGGGATTACTGTAGAATATCCTGTTTCCCATGCACATATGCAAAATGACTTGGTTGAATCCCTTATCAAAATATTGCAATTAATTGCTAGATCATTGTTAATGAGGTCTAAACTTCCTTTATCATGTTGGGGACATGCTATATTACATGCACTAGCCCTCGTGAAAATAAGACCGACAAGTTATCATTGTTATTCCCCTACTCAATTGGTTTCTGGAAAAGTACCAAACATATCTCACCTACGAATTTTTGGGTGTGCTGTTTATGTACCAGTTGCGCCACCTCAACGCATGAAAATGGGACCTCAAAGAAGATTGGGTATATATGTCGGGTATGAATCACCCTCGATTGCGAAATATCTTGAACCAACAACGGGTGATTTATTTACTGCAAGGTTTGCAGACTGTCATTTTGACGAATCACATTTCCCGACATTAGAGGGAGACAGTAATCAACTGAAAAAAGAAAGTTCGTGGAAAACACCACTTGAATTTGATCCTCGTACGAAACATAGTGAACTTGAAGTTCAAAGAATTTTGCATTTGAAGAAAATTGCAAATCAATTGCCTGATACTTTTAATGATGCTATCAGAGTTACAAAATCATATATTGCAGCAGCAAATGCACCATCTAAAATAAATATCCCAGAAGGGAAAATTTCGAGTGCTAATGAGCATACTGCTCGCGTAAAACGTGGCAGACCGTTGGGTTCCAAGGATAAGAATCCACGAAAGAAGAAAATTGTAAATACTGGTGAAGATATCAACAATCATCAGATAATTGAAAAGGTCAGTACAACCTCTGAAGAGGTTGATACTAAAAATTCTGATGAAAGCAATGATATGAAGTTATTGACACTTCTGTTAACTATACCACCAGTGGAAAAATATTGGAACAAAAAGTAAACAAATATTGATAATGCATTTGCATATTCTGTAGCACTCGATATAATGAAAGATGATGAGGATTATAAACCAAAATCAGTTGATGAATATCGGCAAAGAGATGATTGAGCAAAGTGGAAAGACACAACTAAGTCTGAATTGGACTAATTGAATAAACGGCAAGTATTCGGACCCATAGTCCAAACACCTGAAAATGTGAAACCTGTTTGGCTACAGATGGGTGTTTGTGAGAAAAAGAAATGGAAATAATGATATCACAAGATATAAAGTAAGGCTTGTAGCCCAGGGTTTTTCCTAGAGACCGGGTATTAATTTTGAAGAAACATATTCTCCGGTCATGGATGTAATAACATTTAGGTATTTGGTGAGCCTGACAGTACACAATAATCTTGATATGCGATTAATGGATGTGGTTGCTGCCCATCTTTATGGCTCATTAGAAAATGACGTCTAAATGAAAATTCCAGAATGGATTAACATACCTGAATCATTCAAATCAAAGCCAAAAGAATCATATTCCATCAAATTACAAAAATCTTTGTATGGGCTCAAGCAATTGGGCTGAATGTGGTACAATCGTCTCAACGAAAACTTAACCAAAGAAGGTTATATAAATGACCCTATCTGTCCATGTGTTTTTATAAATAAAAATGGGTCTGAATTTGTAATCATCGTTGTATATGTCGATGATTTTAATTTGATTGGAACTCCTGATGAAATCCAGAAAGCTGTTGAATATCTGAAAAAGGAGTTTGAGATCAAATTTTTTGGAAAAACTAAATTTTGCCTTGATCTGCAAATTGAGCATTTGGAAAGTGGAACATTTATTCACCAATCAAATTATACCAAAAGGGTACTAAAACAGTTTCTGATAGATAAATCACATTCGCTAAGTACCACAATGATCTTCAGAGCACTCGATCCAGCAAAGGATCCTTT